GCGGCGTCTACTGTATAATAATATATCGATCCTTGTCAATTATGTATCGTAATGATAGGTAACTGCCTCGCGATGAGATAAGATTCCAAATAAAGTTAAAATTATCTTGGTATTTCGACAGGGAAAGTCCAATTGAATTGTATTGAGTTGTAAAGCTTTTTAACAAAGCATAATTTTAGATTCTTAGTGGAGCAGTAAATCGATTGATTTTACGATGTCAGATCAACTCTGGTGATAGTTTCGCATATCAAATCGAATCTATAGTTGGTACTTTTGAAAGGTAAAAATTGAATATTTCTAGTATTTTTCAAAATAATCGACAAAAATTAAGGAAAACTAGCATTTGTACTCAAGCCCGGGTTTGAATAAAATCGATTTTGATTTACTGGTGTGCATAGCCATTTTTACTTTCAGAATGATCTATTAGTATTTAGTATAATAGTTTGATCACAAGAATAGAAAATATAAATATAATTATCTATGACCGTTATCTATGGATGTCAATAACTATACTTACTTAAACTTAGTGCTTACTGTTTATTGATGAACGATTTAAGATGGAATATTTAAAATTTATTTTATTTTGTTTTCGATGTGTTCTAAACATTTCTAAGAAATAGAACAAATTTAGGTAACAAATTGTCAATATTATATTACATTGTCATTATTCATTTATAATAGGTACTGTAATTAATGTGTATAAATGGTATAAATTGCTTAAGATTAGTCCAGATATATTTTGAAAATTGTATAGTGTACAAAGAAAATGAGGAAAGTGGGAAGTTTATTAAATACTCAACGAGTAAGAATAAATGGAATAATTAGTGATGTAAAGACAAATTGTTTCTCAGTACCTCAAGGTACAGTATTTGATCCTGTGTTATTCATTGTATACATAAATGGATTTTTAAATATATAGCTTAATGCCTAATTTTTTTGTTATATTATATTACAATATTGATATTTCAAAAAATCCTAAAAAATCAACTACTTGACTAAGATAAATGTATTTACCGTCCAAATCGTTCTTATAATCAGATTCACAATTTGGCTATTTTGAATTTATTCAAAAAAAATATTTAAATCAAATTTAAAATTTTTTATTTTCAGTGTTAAAAACAAAAATAATTGATTTTTTATTACACGTGTAACGCAAGTGCAGGCTATAAATTATATATAAAAGAAAAATGTTTACATATCGATTAGAACAAAAGTTTTTCAAAAGTCATTCCTATCTGTTACACCCTGTACAATAAGGATTAAACCCTATTACCACCCAGCCCCCTTCTCGCACACAACTCACAACCTTAAACGGACATATTGGCACGTCATATTGACGATCCTTTGACATTCATAACATCGAAGGCTTCATTTTTAAAGCACCGATGTCAATGCTTACGATTTATCGGCTAACCGACGCGACGTACGGAGAGGGCTGTGGGTGAGTTGCGGCCCGGCGTTTCGTTTCCGGTGTTGGAGACCAGTGATTTGCAGCAGCCCGATAATATTTTAGCTGTAGGTTAGTTGCGGCCCGACAAATTATCATTATTTATGTACCTATTGGCTAGTAACTACATTATGTAAGATGTACCTGTCAGATGGCTATACATATAGTGATAAACGAATTGTTCGATACGCGTATGGCAAGTTATATCTTTACCTTTATAATATAATACGGTGATATACGATTGCGTACGATTGTCCCTTTTAGTAAAACGATTGCGTACGTTTTTACGATTGCGTACGATTTCTCTACCTAGGCCTTAAAAACATTACGATTGCGTACGAAAATGAGTGCAACGTTGCCAACATGTACCTACTAAATTAAAAATAATAATAATATAATTAAAAAGGGGGCAAGTGGGTGTCGCTCTGCTGTACAGTAGGTTACAAGTGGGTCACTGTATAATGGATGATATTAAATTTGAATTCAACGATATAATATCATTGTATAAGAAAAACGATTCTGAGCGGAGACAGTATGTCAGTCTAGGTATAAGACATATTATATACATTATACATATCTATGGTACTAAACCAAAATTTGACCTATAATAGGTAGGTACCTATAAAAAATTCCAAATTAATCATATCAAAATATCCATTAGGTACTTATAACGCGTTATACATCAACAAAAACCGTGATACTATCATAGATATATAATAGTACACTTTAGAAGTTTCAAGTACCCACGAATAATATTATTCAATCACAACAAAATAACTAAAATAGTTATTCTAGGTTTTTTAATATGTAATTTCGTCCAAATTTGAATTTAAAATGTCTGTAAAAAATAACTGTGTTCATATATTTTTTAGATTTTTTTGGTTACAGTATGAACTATTTACGAGAACCTTTGTGTTGAATTTGCAATCCTTAGCTATAAAAACTGAACATTTTATAATTTATTAATTACAATGATTGATAATTTTCGAGATTTTGATAAATTATGTCAAAATTTTATCTTTAAATGCTTATAAAAAAAAACTGTGCCTATGTATTTTTAATATTTTTCAACTGTTATTGTAACAATATATCAGGAGCCTTGTTTTAAATTTTTACACTTTTTGGCCCAACAGATAAAACTTTATTGATATTTATAGAAAAAAAAACTAAGAAAAATTGAAAGCTGTAAATGTCCATAAACAGCTCAAAAAGAGTCAAAATATTTTGAAAATGTTATCGTGTATAGAAAATGCAAATATAAACAACCAGTGAAAATTGTATGTATATACGTTCATTAGTTTTAGAGTTACACCAATAACCAAAATCGATTTTTTGGAAAACCAATTTTGCGTAAAAATTCCCGTTTTTTCCTTAATTTTTATGTTGTTTTTCCCGGCGCTTGTGAAAACTACTGGGAAATTTATACTTTTGACCCCACAAAGTACCAACTAGATTCACTTTCCTATCAGAAAAGCTACTGATGAAGAAAATCCAATCACTTTTACTGTCCTAAAACGTGATGACAGACACAAAAAAAATATAAAAACATACATCATTGTAAAACCAATACATTCATCGCTCCGCTCAGAATCTAAAAAAATCATTATTATAATATTATAGTCAATTAAAAACAATATAAAATATTTGGGAATATAAAATACAAAAATAATACACCTAAGCTATACCTTGGTATCGATAACCAGTCCCTGATAAAACATTTAATATATTACCATATATTTTAAATTTTGCGTATAGTTTTATAACATGGTCAATTTTTTGTATATCTTTAGATGGAATAGCTTTGGATATATTCTTTTATATAGACGTATAGTGGATATTTTTATATTGGTTTCAGCCTGCATTTCTTTCAATGCCTCAAGCACAAAGTATATTGGTGGATGTGAGTTATAGAAATGAGCGTCAAAAGTTCTGTGGAAAACTAGAGTTTTTTTGACATCAGTTAAAATACTGGCATAACAACTTTTGTTATAACATATCCATTTTAATAATTCGTCTTTGCGTTTTCTTATAAAACGATATTCATGTGAAGGAACCACAGCTAACTCTTTCCCACGTTCTGACATTATAATTTTCAAAGAACTCTCCATAGTTACCGCACTATTACTTACTAATATGCTAAAACTAAAACCAGTGACTAATCGAATGACAAGTTGGTCGCATACTAATACGACGATGTTAAAGTGTGACACGCGCCAGGAAATCCAATATAACAATCGGCATTTAATCTTATCTCATATAGTATTTTATAGATTACCAAAAAAGTACCAATTGGCCTGGAAATAATAGTCTCAGTAACGTTTATGAAATTGTATCGAATATAAGCAATCGTTTCCTAAAATAAGTTATATTACAAATTTTCACGATTTTGAACAACGGCAACGTTGGACTAAGTATTGGTAGGTAGAATGTACGCAATCGTAATAATGAAAAAGGTCCATATGCAATCGTATCATACGCAATCGTAACGCACCCATATAATAAAGATAATATAGATCGTTTCATTGTATTATCTGCCATATGACTTGCACTAGCTGCAACCGTACTACTAACTGCTGTGAAAGTTTTCATTCAAAACTAAATATGTCGTTAGTAAGTAGTAAGTAGTAAGTAAGTATATTTTGCGTGAAAATTCCCGTTTTCCTTAATTTTTCTTTTGTTTTTCCCGGCGCTTTTGAAAATCACTGTGAATTTTAAATGTGACCTCCCCAATGCACCAATGACATTCACTTTCCAATCGAACAAGATAATGAAGTTAAAAATCGAAGCATTATTTCGACTACTTATCGAGTACACAACAGTAAAAAAAGTAAAAAAAAAATTTAAAAAAAAAAACACATCATTGTAAAATCAATACATTCATCGTTTCACTCAGAATCTAAAATACAAACTTAAAAAATTATTACTATGAAAAATAGTAAAAATATTGTTTTTTTTTCAGAAAATGTTTTTTTTGAAATTACATTAAATTATAAAAAAAAAAATATATATTTCAAAAAGTTATACTTTTCGAAATTATGAGTGTGAACACTTGAATGCATCACCTGGTATAAAATAACTATTTTACAAACACAAAAATCGACAAAGATAGTGGGAAAATAAATGTTTTTAACACTTTTATGTATTGTAGTATAACTTCTATACTTTGTTCAAAATAAGAACAGTAGTCGTCTGCCGAGTCCTGCGAATGGGCGTGGCTTTGTTCCGTGGCAGCGCCTGACGCGTCGCCGTGGTGGGTACGGCGTCTTACCATATGACATACATTAATATTAAAAAAAAACCATAGTTCAATGATCTTGAACTACCTGCTATCGCATATCGATGTTTTGGATTAATTTCGTCGATATGCCTACTTACAAAGTCACGCTGTTTTGATAAATCTGCTAGATTCCAAAAATCTTCGAAAATACATTTTCTTTGCTCTTCATTTATTTTACTCGTACATTTAATTCTGCAATTCGTACTACACGGGCCTCGCATAGATTTAGCATCAATAAGCTGCTTTTTAGAATTTTCGTACTGTAATCCTGAATTTTTATTTGTACTCATGACATTTTTCTTCCATTTTTTTGGTGAAACGCTTACGTTTTCTAGTCGGTGTGTTAACTTCTTCCAAATCTGAAGATGAAGAAGTGGCTGGAATAATATTAACATCAGGTAAATCCGATTCATGATTTTTTTCAATTGGTGGTACATTTTCTTCATCGCTATCAAAAGCTAATATTGAATCGTATTCAATCTCATTTAACGGGGTCCAGTCACTACCACTATCTTCAAAAAAATCATCAGAACTTTCACATTCCATTTTATTTAAAAAAAACACACTTTTATAATAATATTATAAACAGCCAGAACACGCGTAATAACGATCGGTTAGTTTGACAGAACGACGATCACTGAGAACAATATACTATTCTCCATACCTATCTACCTAACAAATTTCAACTTTAATTCTAATAATAATATTCTTGTGTGTGTCTAATCTACAATATTATTCGATATCGTAGAACGACCTAACTATATATAATTGGTTTCAAAGTGCAATAGATAAAACGGCTTATCTGAGTTAAGCCGGTCTTCACTAAAAATAATTTATTACATATAAAAGTGTAAAACGTCGTAACTACGTCTCAGACAAATACTAATATGAATTTGACTTCGGTCGTTTTAGCTATTCGATCAGTAAAATACGAATTTTTAGAATATGCACTTAACTCAAATTGTTCAAATTTTGAGTTGTGTCGTTCTTCTTCTGGGTGTGCGATGTCTGATCGCCGCTCGACGAAAACTCGTCGCCGCCGACTACTGTTCTTATTTTGAACAGTGTATAATATGTCAGGTATTATATTATTTATCAATATATTAGTCTGGCCATCTAAGACCTTTTACTATTGAAATTAAAATAACAAAATAATATATTGGCTAAACTAATACAAGTTTTATTTTATAAATAACAACATACTATTATTTACTTTCAAAAACATATTAATCAAAGTACCTACCTATATTTTTAAATAGCTAGCAAAGATTCATTTTACTGTCAAATACTAATTACATAATGTCGCTCAAGTATAACGAAGAGTTTAAATACGCATTACGTGACATAGCCAACAACTCTTTCAAGCTGGAAAATCAATTTGGTAATTTCTCAATTATGTATTTTAAAATTACCGTTATTATTATGCTCTTTTGTGACTATTGCTTCTATTCTATTCATAAATCATAGTCATTTAAGTATTTTTATCAATAATCATTAAAATTTATATTACTTTTATTTTAAATTTTAGACCGAGTCCGTTGTACTGAATGGGTCCATAAGATGGTGATGTTGTCAGATGACTCTTTAGAAAATATTAAAATTCGCAATGATTATGCTCAATATTTACGTATAATGCTTAGAGCTGGTGTTCTGCATGGAATATTTTCCAACAGTCCGCCAGCAACTTTAATGCCTTTCGCTGAAGCTATGGTAAGACGAAATATAATTAAAAATCACGCATAATACCTATTTAATAATAATATTTTGCTATTAAGTTGTAGGGGAATTAAATATATAATTGTGTAAAAAAAAAATAGATTTTTAAACTTAAATGATTTTGATAACATAGTACAATTTCGAATATTTCTTGTTTAGGGAAAATTGGTAGCATCAAAAGTAACATCTCTTCCGCCTATGGGACCAATTAATGTGTATATGAAGCACTGGTCTCCGGATGGACGAGCTTATGTAGCTATAAAACCAATACCTGGAAAAGGAGTGCTAACTTACCTTTCAGTCACTCCAACAAGTGATGGACAACATCATAATTAGTTTGAATATTAATAAATTGTATTTTTAATTGACATTTACTATTTTTATTTCTTAAAAAAAAAATATATATAATAATATGGTAAATTATTGTATTCCTGCAGTTGCAGTGACTATGATTAATACCTAACAACGATTAATAATTGTAATCAATAATAGTATAACGCTATATTTTTTAATCAATGTTAATATTTATGACAATCAAGGAATAGAAGGAATAGAAGGAATAGTGGTACCTATATAAAGGTATAAAAATAACAAAATAAAAATGTATATTTTAAGACATTATAATATCATAGTAAGTTGGTATGAATAAACGACCAAAGTCATGCGTCCGTATTATCACCGTATTGTTCAACAAGTTATTTATTAGTTATTATAATCGGGCATTTTTTAAAACCACTGTTTTTTTTTTCTACGTCGGTGAACCAGGTGTATACCGTAGTTATTATACCTAGGTAGGATACGTCGTATTCCAACAAATACAGAATTACCTAGTATACCTGTCATTATACCGATTCCACATAATATTATATTTAAATTTTAGTGGCGCCGTATATCGACTTTACAGATATTAATAATTTATTTTACTATGCGTATCGTATGGGAATATAATATATATATATATAAACGAGTGTGTATATACTGCATTATACCTGTATACGAGTATATAAGTGTATATATATGTAATATGATTATAATAATATTGACCTGCCTCTGGCGTTTCATTATTAATTTAAACGGATCTCTCTCCCCCCCCTAACCACAATAACCGTGTGCCACGTGTGCACAGAGTGATCGCTTCGACTGGCTACACTTTAAGTTCACAGTTGAGTGTTTGGTGAACGAAAACAAAGATTTTTCGCACGCGTTTCAGAGTATTTACAGCAAACAGTCATTTTTTACCAACAGATTTAAAATGTTTTTTTTTTGCATCGGGGGTTTTGTTTTTCTTTTATTAAATAATGACAATACACATTTTGGAGTTTGTAACCTTCTGAGGGTCACCAAACTGGTACGGGGCCTCCCTCAGTCTTGGATGGTATTTTCACGTCGTTGTTGTCCTGAGCTATTTTATCAGTTACTCATCGGATATAGTAATAATAAGATTAAAGGTTGTAAATTCATAGTTTAGTATAGTTTCAAAATAACCAAGGAAACCAAAGTTTGTAACCAGAATTAGAATGCCGTTGTAAAAATGTCGAATGCCAATACAACAAATTTAATGTAAGATGTTCTATAATTGCGGAGGTATGAAGTCGTGGATCACTATAATAGTCTTAATAATTATTACAAGACGTAAAATATTATCCTGTCTAGGAATAATATGGCAACAATAGTTTTGAAAAGGTAAATCTCAAATTCGCAATTTTGACAACAACAAAAATAATGTAAAATTATAATTTGATATAAAAAATACTTACTGTGTTGCGAATGGTGATAAACTTAGAATTATGTTTGAAAATAAAAACGTTTCTAATAAACGTAAATATGTCTACCAAAAACATAAAGGTACTGTTTGGTGAAAATATCAAAAAAAAATAAATAAATCACGTGTATTAAAAATTTTGAGTATTTTTAAGGGCGTCGTCAGGTTAACGATGATAACCTTTATTTAAATAATAATTTTGAGTCGTGACAAAACAACACTTTCGAAAATAATATTAATTTTTTTTTTTTTTGCGCCAATTTGTATCGCTATAATGTTTTAAGTTTTTACTCTTTTCAATGACGAAGAACATGATGTTTTCTAAATTCATGTTTTGACCCAGCTTTTAACTTGGAGTATTTCAATCTGTTGAAGTACAATTTTGGACGAGTATTTAAAGTCCTGATGAGTGGAGTAGTGGACAAATATTTTTCACCCCACAAATGTTTAGATGACGGTAAAAAAAAAATTCAAAAATATTTATCTGAGAAAAATGATGTTGTTTTAAACGACATACAACCATGGAAAAATTAGGAAACATTTTCGAAAACTATTATAGTTTTCGAAACGATTAATGTCTCAGGCGCTAAATGGGTCATCCCTTGGATTAGGTATACCTGCCTACGAGCAACGGTATAGGTCGAATGACCTTACGTTTATAATATCAAACTTAATTTTTACTGCATTTTAATTGTGTTTTTTTTTTGTTTTGTTATATATTATTATGGATTTCACTCACCAATGGACGGTTCGGACGAGTTCCTGGTGCCATCGGCCGATATCGATCGAGCCTGCCCCGGCGACAGACCGTACAAATCGTTGTTGTACTTGTCGTGTTGGTTGGCGTCGATCGACTTGGACCTGAATTTGGACCTGTTGAACCGGGTCCTCATGGCGCCGAAAAAGTCGCGTTTCTTCTTCCTGCTCCGGCCGCGATCGCCTGGAAAACAAGGCCAAACAATACGGATATAATATGGGGAAACTACAACAATACCTATTGTCATTTGGGCGGAAGCTTCCGGTTGTCCTCGAGTCCAACGCGGGTACTGGAACCTTTCAAATTTATCGGTATCGGTTCCAAATAATTTCTGTACCACTTCCAGATAATTTGGGAGTATTAGAAAACTCTCATATGATCATTGGTACATAGCTTATATTATACAAATCAGCAGTGTTTTTAAAGAACGTTCACGCGCGAACGACGTATATATATTCAATGAATTTGAACGATTTTTAAGACGTTCAAATTTATTTATTATTTAATAAAATATATTAATTGATAATATTATTATGATATATATAATATATTAAAAATTATAAAAATAAAATACATGAAATTCCAGTTGGCAAGACCTGGGCATTAAACAACAATAATATTTTGATTTCCACGATTTTGTATTCGCATTCAAGCAATACATAAAAATCAAATAAATTAAATCAAATGAACGACGAAATGAACGCATTCATTTTTTCAAAGAACGTGAACGGGTTCAATTGAAAAAAATATGAATTTGAACGTGAACGAATTCATTTTTTTAGTGAACGTTTCGAACACTGCAAATCAGTAATACCTACCATTAAATTGTGATAAATACAATTATCTTATTTTTGAACCTAAAAGAACGTATTTAATTTAAAAATTCGGGTTCGGTTTCGGTATATGGTCAAACGCGTTTACTGCGTCGCACAGACGATATCCAAACAATATTATGTAGTCAGTTATTAAAGTAACAGATAATCATTTATTAGCATTTAATACGACGTGTCAGGAATTTTAAAACCTCCTCCATAAACGACAAACAAATTGTGTATGCGAATGAATTATTAAAATTAAAAACCTCGTCACAAAATGACCTAGATAATTTATCTCATATTGTTTATTGTATATTACAATATAACAGATACTTCAAATATTATGTTTATGTGTTTCGAGTCATACAATTAAACATAATATTATGCAGTCTCGTAACAAGCGGCTTTGCATTATATTTTAACGAGTTGAAAATAAGAACTAAGTTGTTTTTAACTAAGTCACATAACGGATTACTGTTTTTGTTTTTAATGTGACTTCTGACTTAAAGTATTAAAATTCGTTCCGTGGTATGAATTTACTAATCAGTTATTAACAGGGCTCGGGACTTAAAGCATTTGCTTATTTTTATAGATTGACTTAAAATGTAGCAGAGTGCTATAGAAGCGTATGTCATGTTACAACACATTCAATTATGAAATTTGAGAGTGTTTGTTTTTGCTTTTTTCAGAGATTTTTCAAAAAAATTGCTTATTTCAAGTTTTTCTGATAATTATTGCTTTTTTGACCAGTTTTATACTTCTTTATGATTTCCTACTGCAAAGTTGTTTTTGATAGAATTAAAATTAAAAATAATTTAAATAAAAACATTTATTAAAATTTATTAAAAAATTAATTTTTTTTTCAACTATTTGTAAATATTGTTTACATTTTATTTTTCAGAAAATCCCTTGGAATATCCATAAAATCCTCAGTCCTGAAAATGAAGTTTAATTTTTTATTTTATTGTTTTTTTTTTAATAAATATTTTTGCTTAAATTTAAGTTTTTTAAATGCTTATTTGAGTGCTTATAATGATGTTTTTAAGTGCTTATTTTAATGATTTTAAGTGCTTTAAGTCCTGGTTGAGCCCTGGTTATTAATAACTACGTATGTACAAGCGAGTTGAGTTAATTTTATTCCAACATAATATTATAGCGTGGACTTAAAAAATATATTATTGAAAACGCATAAGTAAAATAATATTTATGATAGTACATTTTATTGTATTGTAAATACTGTAGAAGTTGAAAGTTGAAGTTGTGCCGTGTTGGGTGCACTATTTCGATAGGAATACAATTTTATACTAAATTTATGTGAAATTTATCAGAAGACATAGTATAGCATTATAGGTAAGTATAGTCGGGTGATCAATAATAATTGTTTATGAAAAATGTCGCACTGTCGTTGTACCTATGATATATATGTATTAATCACCCAACGTAACATAAATCGAAAAAAAAACTAAAATTCGAAAATTTAAAACGTCTATACATAGCACAAAAAGAACCGATTGAGAACTATTTCAAGTAGGTAATATTGCCTTCGATGAAAATTTCGTGTTTTCGCCGTTCGATGGTTGTTTTTGAGTTGAAACAAACAAAAAAAAATTGATTTTGTCAAAAACTTGTATTTGCGTGAAAATTTTAGTTTTATTGTTTGTCACAATGTTTTTAAAAGTAGGTACTTGGCAATTTTTCTTTTGACACCTGCAGGAATAACAACTAAAAATGAAACTCGTCACAAAAAACAGACATCGAAATTTCTGAAGTCTGAACATTTTTCCGGCAATAATGTGTTAGACTGATTTTTTTTTAAATTTTTAGATAAAGTATAAACCTCTCAGTAGGTAATCATAATTTGAAATCGATAAAAAAAAATTGGCAATACACGTGACAGCGTCATGGGAATATTTATGGTGTATTTTGTTGTGTCTATTGGATAATATGGGAAAGATTTTTATCCCGTTTTCTGTATTTTCAACTAAATGCAACCATCCTTTGTAGGTAGGTAAATCCTCAGAAATATCTCCTCAGCAACACACACGCTATTACTGAGAATAGCCTTCAATGATAATATTTCACGTATTAAACGGGTGAGCAACATATTTTTGTTTACTAGGACTGTATTTTTTTTATCAAATTAAATATCGACTCTTATGGGGAAAAAACGTCGATGGAGTCGCCAGAATATCTCAAAAAATGATATTTCTTGGTCGAAAAAGCTGTTCAAAATGACCGATTAATAAAAAACTTAAATTTCCAAAGTTTTAAGCCAAAAAGTAAGCTATTGCCCGTGTTAAAAATAAATAGGTGCCAATGATTAACTATGCCAAAAACGAACTATTTCCATAAATTATTGCGAAACGTACATTTTTATGTTATTCCAGGACGTAACATTAATCCTGTTGTAGGCGTGAAGGAGTAAAATATAGTTAATCCAAAACGTCGTAGGTACTAACGTTTAAACTTAAACATTTTAATAAAGTCTGAAATTTAATTAAAAAATATAATCATAGAATATTTAAGACATAACTGAATCGTTTTGAATAGAAATAATAATATAATGTTATAAAATAATTTAATTTAAAAAAAAAACCTTATCCATCAAAATGATTTCTTTTTTTCGGCTACGTTGCGATACAGAAAATCACTTCTTTCAGAAAAATCAGTATTTCGACATCATTAAGTTTTGGATTTCCGTCCCTCAAAATATGTGCTTCACTGTTGAGCCACCTACTCGCGAAAGGCACGTTGCAAGTTCTTTTTATTTTATCAATTCGGAAACTGTGTTTGAGTTTGGTAGGATCGATAAGTAAATGCTGGCTAATGTATTACTTTCTCGGGTTTCTTGTTAAGAATTTTCCAGAGACGTGACCTTTTAGGGTTTGATATTTTTGAATTTATTCAGTTTAGTCTCGTGAGTCGATGAGAGCTGTAGGTAAAGGAACTCAGGTTAGGCTGTTAGAGACGGTTATGGAGTTTGTAACGTTAATTTGATGATGATTTGCGTTTTTTTGCCGCTGGAGATCAGCTTTTTCATTTCCCTCGACGCCACAACTGCACTATGTTAATACTCGACGAAATGTTTTTTTTTTATTTTTGCTAAGAGAGCCAATTTCGTCCGTGACTCGTATACGACCCATTCGAAACTACCGATAACGAACCTAAAACTTACACATTATTTTCTTATTATATAGTCATGTGATATACGATGCGAATGACTCTTCAAATCCACAAATATGTCGCATCATCATTATGGCGACGGGATATAATCCGTCTGGAAAAGTTTGTCAGCCGTCAGTGGTTTTATATACGTATTCCGAAACAAGGAATGGGTGTATTGATCTCACAATTATGAGCGTTTTTTTTTTTCAAATTTTCTGAAGTTAGAACTTTGGCAAAATTCACCGAAATCACGAAATGTTGTAAATTATTTTTCAGTTACAAAAAAACCTAAAAACATTTTTCATAGCTTAAAAAAAATATCAGAAGATTCTCTATTATAAGTTTTTCTACCCCTATGACGAAAAAAAAAAAGTTTACCAGAAAATTACATTAATTTTTTATGGGCGGTTGAATTTGAAACGCGTAAAATTACGATTATCGATTTTCGACATTTTCATATAACCAAAAACGAATAACCGTAGATGCCCGACATTATCACTAAATATTTTTATTACTATATTTTTTCTATCCGTGGGTAATTCTTTGGTCCCGTCGAAAAAGGGCTTAAGTCCATTTTACCAACTTTTTGCGACGGCAGTATCAAAGTTTGAAAATTTCTACTTGTTAGTTCATTATATCCATACATATTTAAGATATTTTTATAGTATGTACATTACATTCTTAACTGAATACGTTAAAATTCTTGTTACTATGAATATTTGACGAGATAACTGTAGTTATGCCCTTTTGATTTCACTTGTTCTGACTTACTCCATTTTTTTACACGACTCATGTCTTTTTGATTTCACTTATTTTGACTTATGTCTTTTTGTCCAGACATAATATTGTCATTCTACCAAACATAGAAACGGTTATGTTTAGATATGCCCTATTTATTACTTCAGTGATATGAGTAATATTTTTCACTGCCTTATGCCAAATGTACCAAAAAAAATCAGCAAAAATTAAGCTATACATCTGCGGAAAAACATTTTTTTTTTGTGAAAAGTTTACTTGAGCCCTTTCTACCCGGGAGCAAAGAATTAATGTTGACCCTTTTTGATTAATTTATATTTACGAGATTACTCATAAGTTGTTATAATAGCAGTTTTAAAATATTAAAGACATTTAATGATGATTTTATTATAAGCATTTGAAACTCAAATTCATTCTGACAAAACTCTCTAAAATTACAACAATTCGATTTGCAAATTTATTTATAGTTAAACAAACGTGTATAAAATATTTAATTCTTAAAGCTAAGGAT